GGGACCCCCCTGAGCTACTCCATGGAATTCATGGAGATGAATTCCATCCCAGGTGAGGTGATTGAGTGTTGATCAGCAGCACTGTGAGGCAAAAGAGATTTTGGGGTGTTTTTTTGGTGTGTGTGTCTGTTCTGTGGTTAAATAATGTTCTGGAAGCTTTTTGGTCGTGCTGGCACTTGAGCAGAATTGTTGAGTTGGCAAAAATCAAACATTTGGGACACAGAGTTTTTAATGAACTGTAGCTTTAACCCAGGAGCACTGTCAGACTCTAAAGCAAGTTCCTCTCCTTTCTAGCTTCTCCAAGAGGCTTTTTCCTGCTGTTTTACTGGCATTTCTGATTTATTATGGCACCAGTTCTCCACAATAAGCACTTGCACTCCCTGCTTTATGTCTATAAACTTTAAGAGAGTTCAACTGATCAGTAATAATGATGAATCTTATAAAAAAAACCCCAGTCCACTATAATTTTTTTGCTGTTTTAAAGCAATTCAGTTGCATCAACCTTTAAAAAATAAATACTTTTAAAGATTTATCACAATTGTAGGGTGCAAAGAGCATCCCCACTAAGCAAAATGGGTCACTCCTGATGCTTGAAGGAGTTCAGGCTTGTTGAGTAAATAATAGCACAGATATAAATGGCTGTTCAATTCCTTTTTAAATGCTGAGTTCCTCATCCAGCCACAGCAGTGTCTCAGGAACCGCTGGTTTGGACAAATACATTAAATAGCAAATATTTGTTGATGTGTCTAATGAATTAATAATGCTCACTTAGTGATTGCTGTTGAAGTTTGTCGGGGTTTTGAACCCACTGCAGGAGCAAGAACTGCAAAGGGTTTGCCTCCAAATTGTCTTCAGATTTGCTGCTTGTGGAGAACACTCAGAAGTTGTTGCTGGTGGCAGTTTGGGTGGTGTGGGCCCTCCCACAGTCCATGTTTCCCATGGAGTTGGGTGGGGATGTGGCAGTTCTGGTGTGAGGGAGCCAATGGCTCTGGCTTGTGACAAACCTGGCCCAAAATTTAGGTTTTCTTGCCTTTTTTTCTTTTTCTTTCCCACTGAATTATTTCAAGTAGTCAAGAAAGATGTGGAGCTGTTGGAATGAGTCCAGAGGAAGTCATGGAGCTGCTCCAGGGCTGGAGCCAGGCTGGGAGAGCTGGGGGTGCTCACCTGGAGAGGAGAAGGCTCCAGGGAGAGCTCAGAGCCCCTGCCAGGGCCTGAAGGGGCTCCAGGAGAGCTGGAGAGGGACTGGGGACAAGGGATGGAGGGACAGGACACAGGGAATGGCTTCAAAATGACAGAGGGCAGGGATGGATGGGACATTGGGAATGAGGAATTGTTCCCTGGCAGGGTGGGCAGGCCCTGGCACAGGGTGCTCAGAAAATGGTTATTTATTTTGACCATGGCCATGTTCCCCCTTGCTCCAGCTTCTAATGAATGCCAAGTTTGAAATCCTGTAATAACACCAGATCTAAAAGGAAATAATTATTGGAAATTACTTATTATTCTTCCTCTACTATGTGTCATGTTATTTTTCCTCTAAAGATATTCAAAATGCTTGGATGTCATAACTAATATTTAGATCAATTTACCTTCATCATCTCTTAAAACTTAATGTAAGAGTATTTTTCAGGAAAATGCTGTCTTGTAGACATTTTGTGTGTCTTTTCTTTACAGATCTTCCTTCTCTCATCAATTCATAGTTTTTTCTTTGCCCTGGCTGGCGTTCAACCTTATTTCTTAGAGGTTGTCAACCTTTTGATACTTTGTGGTAAATTATGATTTGTTCTGAGCTATTTCCAAGTTAACAGACTCATTTGAACTTAATAGTGTCATTTTCTGTACTTTATACTCCTGGCTTTTGGGAGTTTTATTTGTTTTGGGGTTTTTTGTTATTTGGTTGTTTTTTTCTGATACAAATTGAAGGAAAAAAACAGGATTTTTCTTGTGTTGTAGTCCAGTTGCATGGAGTTGCTTATTCTGGGAGCATCGGTGTTGCTAATCTTGTGGTTTAACTTGACGTTTCATCAAAATCAAAAATAAATCTGTCAAGATTCCATCCTAAAAATCTCTCAGGAGCAGACTCCACTCAAGGGTGTCAGCTGAGCTCTGAATAACTTTCTAAAATAGAACATCGTGATTGGCGAGCTGGAATTATTTTGTTTTTCAAGGTTGTAAAATCAAATATCAGAAGCCTCAGAAGTGAGTTTGTGCACTTCTTTGTAGGTGTGATAACACCTCAAATCTCTGGATGGGATTTTTTCCTTAGACTGACCTGAAGACACCATGAATCTCCTGAACTTCTGTATTCTGGGATTTGAGGTGTAAAAGGCTGGAGGCAAACACCACCTAATGGAATTACACTGCTTCAAGTAGAAAAGCAGCTGAGCCCAGTTCCTTCAGGAAATTCTGTTAACAGGGGAGCAAACAGTGGTGAAATACTGAGAAATTCCCATCCCCAAAATGCCCAGGAGGTGTGATAATGATGATTAACCGGAATCTACTTGGGTAATGTGGAAACAGCCTTGATTTCCAAGTAGTCAGCAGGAATGTATCGTGGTAAAAGTCATTTTGGGGGTGTTTTTGAAGGTGCTGTTGCAAATTCCAGAATGACTGTGGAATGTGCTAGGTTTGCATGACAGTAACCAAATGAACATTTTTGGGAAGGAGAAGGGAGAGAAAAGGCCCCTTTGAGCAGTTCTGGTCTCCTCTCACATGGGAATAACAGTTCCTTTGGGAAGAGTCTGGAATTCTCCTATGAGCTGCCATTTGAGCTGTCAGGGTTGCTGTCTCCTCTCTGAGATTGTGCCCTACGATTCCCTGAGAGAAGCTGATAGTGAGGAGAGAGGAGCTTGGTCTCTTCTCCTAGGGAATAAGTGAGAGGATGAGAGGAAATGGCCTGAAGTCGTGCTGGGAGAGGTTCAGATGGGATATTGGGGACAGATTCTTCACGGGAAGGGTTGTAAGGTCCTTCATGGAAAGGATTGTAAAGCACTTCATGGGAAGGGTCCTTGATGGAAAGGGTCCTTGATGGAAAGGGTTGTAAAGCACTGGAAAGGGCTGCTCTGGGGCAGTGGTGGAATCTCATCCTTGGAAATGTTCAAGGCAAGTGTGGATGTGGCATCTGAGGACATGGGTTAGTGGTGACCACGGTGCTGGTGCTGCTTGGAATTCATGACCTGAATGGTCTTTTCCAACCTGAAGAATTCTGTGACTCTACAATTCCCTGCTGGAATTTGGTCATAAACAGCTGTAGAAGGGCAAGGGAAGAGAAGGAGGAAGGGAGGGTGCTTTGCATGGCTTGAATTCCTGGGTTCTGTCGCCTGGAGCTGCTCTATCAAGACAAACGTAGGTCTGAAATGGGAACCAACAGCCCCATGAGATCTGTGCTGGGGCTTCACTTCTTTCATGGCCCATATTGAAGTTCTTCCTGGAATTGCTGCCTGTTGCAGCCTGCACCAACCTCCTGCTGCTGGACAGGTTGGGAAGGGTCCAGCCTGAGGGGAGGTGGAGCTTGGAAAGGCCTCTCTCCATCCTCCACCCCTGGATGAGGAGTGGAGCAATGGGTTCAGTGTAGAACTTGAAATGGTTTTGCTGCTGCCCTTGATTTCTCCAGAATGTTGGTATTAAAATCCAATAAAGTCACCTGCAATCTATGGCTTTGACAAAGGGAAAAGAGACTGTGCTTGCTGTGAGGGAGCCTCATAAATCACAGGATAGTATCATAGAATTTGAGAAAAACCTCAGATGTCCTGGTGATCCCACCCATGTGAGCTGTCCTGCAAGCAAACTCAAGATATATATATTTTATTTATATTATCAATCACCTAGGAACTTTAAATACTTGAGTAAATATGGGCCACTCCATCTGGTTTATTACATTTCCCTACTTGCTCTCCTTCTGTGGAAAAAACCCAGAGGTTTTCCTCAAACTCTTGGCACACAATTGTTTTGCAGGTTTGTTTGATTGTTAATAAATGCAGCTATTTTTTTATACAGTAACTTGGCTTGTATTGCTGAAAATCTCTCTTCATTCCACACTCCTTGTATTTAACCCCAACATTTTAAATTTGAAGGAATATTTTCAAATAATTCAGTTCTGGGCTGCAGAATTGTGCTAATTCTTTTTATTGGAACCACAAACCAGAGTTGTTTTGTTTTTTTAAACTATCTAATGTTCTGCACTCCAGGTACACTCTGGAGTTCAGCCAAACCTGTCTTGGGGATTTTGGTGGGGGATTTTTTGTTTATTTGGGTGGGTTTTGTTTGTTTTGGGTGGCCTGAGGGGGAGGAAAGGGAGAGCGTTGTGAGGTTTTGTGGGTATCTTTGTTTTGTGGGTTTGGTTTAGTTTTTTTTTGGTTTTTGGGGTTTTTTTGGGTTTTTTTTGTTTGCTTGCTTTTTGGGTTTTTGATTATTTATTTTGCAGGGGTTTTGTGTTTGTTTGTTTTTCTTTATTTTTAATTTTACTTTGTTGATTGTTTTTTTCTGGTGTGGTGTTAGTGGTGTTTTTTTCATTTTCCTGAATACAACCTAACAACCTCTATCCTTAAAGAAGGCCACCCTCAGGGATCATTGCCATTTTTCCCAGGCAATGCCTTTGAATCCTGAGTCCCTCTGGCCTTTTGCAGTGAGCCCTCATTTTAATCAGTGCAATTTCCCTGCTACAGTTGCTCCTCCAAAGTGCCTGAAAGCAGGAAGGATACCATGAATACTTTATTGCAGGGAAAATATGGAAATCAGATCTGATTTAAGCCAGAACCTTGCATTTTCATGACTTGGAGGGCTGTGCATGCACAGTTATTGAGTTGATGAGTACACACATTAATGCTAATTAGAGGTTCTCCTTCCTTATTTTATTTATTTTTGTGACTGAAACAATACCATGCTCTTAGAGCCTGTGTATCCCCTGTGAAAAAGTTTGTAGTGGCTCAGCTTTGTGCAGATTGAGTAACAAATGTGTCAAATCCCTCTCTTCCAGCTCTGCCTTGAGTGAAGTTTGACAGAAAATGGTCCAGCAGCTTTGTCTCTGGAAATGGTTCACAGTGGGGACGGCACTCGCTGCTGTCCTGGCATGGGCTCTGGCCCAGAATGATGAAGGTAAGGGTTTGGCTGAGGGGTGGAGCTCTGGGAGGGCTGGGATGCCTCTGGAATTTCATTGGAATGGGTTTTTTTTTCCCCCAAAAAAATTAATATTTGGTGAAGTAGTTGGGTAGGAAAAGAGGTTCCAAGAAAGAAAGGTCTGGGTGTGTTTTGTGTTTCGTGGCTGCTGCAGCATCCAGTGATGATTGCATTTCCTGAAGCTGTTGATTTAGCAGGCAAGACAAAATCTTCAGTTGTGGTTATTCAGTGTTGGACTCGAGCATCAAAATGGGTTTTGTCTTATTCCTTGTACAAGCTTTAACAGTGAACTTTACTTTGTTCATAAATCAGCAGTTGTGTTTGGAACTGGAGATGGAGACAATGGTTAATGACCAAAAACTTGGGGAAGAAATCCACAGTGAGGGTTTTCTAGAGAAACAATACTTCAGGAACCCTGAAACATGGCACCAGTAGCCTGTGTTCCTCCTCAGAGCATCTTGGTTGAATTTAATTAAAAGACAGCAGAAATGTGTCCTGCCAGTGATCTCTGGTAATTAAAAATTACAGGCCTGGATAACTGATTAGGGTTCTTTCTTTTGAACAATTGAACAGCTTTGAAGGGCAAATTCTGTCAGAGTTGTTCCTGAATACTCCTGGGAATAATGAGTGGGATAAGTGAAAACTGAGTGTGGCTTCAGAATGTCTGTAATGAAGTTGCTCATTATCCATGGCACTCCATGTGGGTAGAGCTGTAATTGTACCAATTTATGACTTTGGCATCTGGGTTTTGGTTTAAAAACCTCTATTTTGTCAGCTGGGAAGTCAAGTAATTTTGCTTTCATGGGAAGTCTTCAGTCCTGCTTGAATTATGCTTTGTTTTTTGCTACCCAGTTGAAAGTCTCTGTTTCTTGTTCTACTAATTGCTCTCCAAATGTCCTTTTATTCCCTTCCATCCCCCAGCCCAACCCTCCCCATAATGTACAAGAAAGCTAATTTAATTTTCTCCATTTTTACACCCTGTCATAATCACTGTCACTCCTGACACTGAAGTGGACGAGCTGCTCACATTTCACATATTTGCTCTGTGCTGGGCTACACTTAACTGGGTTTTAATCATTTATTGCAGGGGAGGAGTGGGGCCATCAGGTTGACCTTGGTGGTGGTTTGAGGAGCAAAATGCTGGTTTGGGTGGAGGAGAGGGGGCAGGATGGCCTCTGGCATGTCCAGCAGCACAGGAGGACATGGGAGAGCAGTGGGAATAATGGTGGGAAGCAAAGCCAGGATCATGAGGCTGTGGAGAACCCTCAGGGCAGGCTGGGAAAAAACAGCAAAAAAAAAGCAGCACTTTTCAGTGGTAATGTTTTTGTGCTCACGCTGGCAGCATCACATATCTCCAAAAAGGCATCTTTGAGGAGAATAAAATGGGGATTTTTGGTTGGGGAGCCATTTCTACCTAGGCTTGAGTGATGATGAAAAACACAGATGGCCCAGGCAGGACAGGGGCAATTTGATCTCCTGGAGGGGAAAAAGGGATCCCTCAGGTTTCCATTTCCTTTACACTCATATGACCAATTCTCATCTCTGTGTCCTTATCCCAAGGTTGTTCAGAATCCTTTTTCTTGCAGGTGATTTAGAGAAAGGGAAGGGCCACCACTCTTCAATGGCAGTGTCCTGTGACTGAGTGAATACAGCAACTCCCTTACTTCAAAGGGGTCTGAACATAATTTTTGGGTGGATTGTTTTAGCCTGGCTTGTGCCAATTTATTTTCACAGAAACCATGCTTGATTTTATCCTTGGTACTGGTCTCTTACATGGCCTGAACAGGACAGCTTTGTTATAATGAGCACAAATTTGCTGGCTGTAGCCAAAATTCTTGCTGCTTTTTGCAGGGGGACAGTGCAGAAATGCTGTTTCTTGAGGAATCTGCAGCACCCTGATACAAACTGAACTGATTTCCTCCCCCATACTGTGTTTAGGAAAGGGTAAATGTAGCTAAAAGCACTTTGGATAAATTTCACAGGGGTGTAATAGAGAAAAAATGAGCTGGAAATGGATGTAAGCCAAGGTGGGGGACTGGTGACTCAGCAAATGGCACCCAGCTAATGAGGCAATGCTTACAGGCATAATTACTTGGAAATATGTTTCTTACAGCTCAATAGAAAACTCTGTTTAGGGCTGGGCCTGGAGGAGTTCTGATGTGCAGGAGCAGAATTTGTAACCTGAAATACAACATAGAAAAGATGTGTTCTTCTGGCAATTGCCATTCCCAACCAGTGTAGTTCTCTTAACAGCAAAATAATAAGTATAAATAAATAAAAAATCAACTCTGGCAGGAATAATGGTAATTGCCATTTCCAACCAGTATAGTTCTCTTAACAGCAGACTAATAAATATAAATAAATAAAAAATGAGCTCTGGCAGGAATTATGGGCTATTTCTTTGCAGCCAGCATGCCAATCCTCCATTTTCCTGGCGGGAGCTGTGGATGTTGACTCAGTTTCTTGCCCTTCTTGCTGCCTTTCGCTTCATTAGCTTATAATTTCTCTGTTCCACATGTTTTACTTGACCTCCTGTGTCACCAAATCCTCCCCAGCCACAGCAATTAATGATGGCCCAAAGTAACTTCATCCAGGAGTGCCTTGGGCAGGCTGCTTTCTTCCTACACTTCAGTCGAATTTTCCCCAGGATCCCATCTGCTCCTGGTGAAATTCAAGTACCTCCCATCTACTGTAGTCCCTTTGTATTCAAACCCACCCCCCTAATTATTGAGAAAACCCCAAGACTTTTGTTACAGAGCCACGCCATCAGTCCTAATTTATTGTTGATGAGCCCATTCCATGTTTAATTTCCATTCTTTCATGCTGTAATCCTTTTGTTCAATCCTGTGGTGCACCAGAATAAATGTTAGGCTTGAGTGTGGATGGGGAATATTGTATTTTTGGTTTGGTTTTCTGAAAGGAAGAGATCTGGTTTTACAATTTCTGCTGTTGTTTCTCTTCCAAACAGGAGAAATACTGCAAAGGTTGGATTTTTTTTCCATAATATTTTAACTTAAGTAAAAGTAGAAATGTCACTTGTAGCTGTGCAATATGTGAAATTAGGTCAGCTGAAATCTCTTTTATTTTTCCAGTGCTGCTTTATTGAATTCAGAGGCAAACTCTGAGGCTAAAGGAATCAGGGAGGAGGAAGGTGGAAACACAGGATCAAATTTCTCCCTTTTTCTTTTCCTCTCTAATCTAATGTCTATGGCTCAAAGAAAAAAAAAAATAGCAGCAATTTTTGGCCAGCCAAGAAGGCTGCTGAATTCAAAACTTTCTGCACTTTTATGACAGACCAAACCAATCCAGCAGCAATTATTTGCCAATTAACATATTTAATTATGTTGAGTCCATACCATTCACGAAAATACAAATGTAAGCTGGGGGGGCACAAATAATTTATTCTTCACTCTTAAAAGATGAATAGAAGGCAAAAATCATTCTAGTCCCTTTTAAAAACCAGAAGCAAATGTGGAGATCCACCCACAACATTGGCCAAGGATCTGTTGTTGGGGTTTTCAGAAGTAGTGGAATGGGGCTGTGACTTGTGGGGATCTGTTTCATACCATGGAATCTTTGAAGGGTTTTTGAAGATTTTTGGGGGCCTGCTTTTAACCTAAAGTGGTTTTGCACTTTTTTGTACGTGAATGAAAAGAACACTTGAAGGTCCTTATATTTCTCCTGAAGATCTATAGCTTTAAAAGAAGAATAGTAACAAAAATCCTGAATTCATCTGCTCAGAGATGAGCTCATCCTGGGGCTTCTGTTACCTTGTGAATTTGGGTTGTGTTTGAGGGGGTTGATGTCACCTGTCCCCCACATTCCCCTGACCCAGGGGCCTGTCACACCCCAAAAATGTCAATACTCAAGTCCTGCCTGTGTTTGGTGTGGAACCAGTGGAACCACAGGACCATTTTGGTTGGAAAAGACCTTGAAGAGCAGCAAGTCCAATAATGCTGGGGATGAGGATTTCTAGAAGAGCCTCCATTCCAGCAATCTCCTGGAGCTGTTCCATGAAATCATCCCTTCTGACTCACTTGAGGAATAATGCTTGTTTATCCCAGAGGAGATGCAAACAGGATGTTGGATGCATTTCTCTTGGCATGTATGGCTAAGAAGGAATGCTCTCTTGATTATTTAATGTTGGTTTTTTCAACTCTATTTGGACTTAGCACTGTAGTTCTTCCAATCTTCTGGTTTCAGACTCATTTCCTTCCTTTTCCTTCCTTTCTGCTTGACTGTGGAACAAGAGATGAGCCATGGACACCTGCACTGTGGGGTATGGATCTCACTGCTGGCTCAGTGGTTTTGTTTCATTCTGAAACAAAATTTCACAAAATAAAACTAAGGCTAATCAGAAGATTTACTCATCCAAATATGGATTTCCTATCCTAAGTGTTCAGCAGATGGGTGTTTTTTATCAGAAAGGAACAAAAAACCCCCATTTAAATGGTCTTTGCCACTTCCCTGAGTGGGGATGACTTTTTAAGTAAGTTTTTTTTTTCTGTGAAAACCATAACTGTTCATTTTTACCACCAGGACTGTTGAGCCCCAAACCCCTTCATCTGGTTTTCAAGGCCTCCTTTATTAGTTAATGTCTTTTTATTCAGTCTAATAATCTTCTGCTACAAAAATTAAATCACTGAGGGACCTTACAAATCACCTGAAGAGGCTATTTCAGAAAGAAAAAGTTTCAGATCTTGATCTGTTACTGTTGGGCAGGAAATGAACTGGGGAAAATGCATATTTGAGTACCTGGAGCTCATTGATCATTCCCTGAGCCCTGCACTGTACAGATGCAGGGAGAGGAGAGAAATGCCACCAGGTTCTTGCCTGAGGGAACCTGTCTGTTCCTGGGAACAGGAGTCATTTGTGTGTTTTATGGGCACTTGGTGCTTTTGGTTGGGAGCTGTGCCCTTGTTCCTACAGGGAAAAGAGCTCTTCTTGATGTTGGGGAGTTGTAGTGGAGCCATTAAGCT